TTATTTATTATTTACAGTGAAAAGGGTCTATTTGTCGAGATCTTAGCACAAAAAATAATTTATTTGTCGGATTTGAAAGAATTTTTTAGAAAGTTCGTTTTAATATAGAATTTTATTTTTAAGTAAAAATTTGGTTTAAATTCAACAAAAGGTACAAATTCGAGAACAAAAAATTTAATTGTCGTAAACCCAAATGATTGGTCAGTTGTGCGATAAATAGACTCGTTCGACAAATAAGATTGCGACAAATAGACCCGTTTCACTGTACATTCAAAAAACAATTTTTAGAATGTAAAATTAACAATTACCATCTTTAATTTTTTGTCTTAGAATTTTTTTAATAATATTTTTGAAACCTTTTTACAGATTCTATTCATTTTTTGAGTTTAATTCTATTAAAAAACTCCAACAAAAAATAATAACAAAACATATAACAAATATTGTGTTTGCAAAAACGCGGGCCGGGTAAAATTTATTTTCCCGTTGCAACCGCGGTTTTCCTTATTGTTATCCTAAAATTAAATGTGCGGGCCGGAAGTCTAATAATTACAGATGCAAGAAAAGGTGGTTGTCACGAGTATAAAAAACTATTTTTTTATTTATTTTTAATAATTATAAATTGTTAGTTGTCTAACAAGTAAATTTACGGGAAAGCCGTGGTAGTTTTGATTGATTTTTCAGAAAGTGGGTGTCAAAATGATGAAAAATTTCAAAAAGACTATTTTTATATAAAAACAGAAAAACCACAAAAAGATTTTACTCATTTCCAAAATCAAAATTGACTTATCATGTCGTCTTGATATAAAATGAATTGATGTCGGGGATGTGCAATTTATTATGAAAAAGTTGGGGATGTGTAAATCAAACAAGCAATAATCACGATTATCAAGTTTGTATATTTTAAACGTTGAAAACGAATTATTAATCATTAGGCATTCATTGATAAACAACGTGTAATATGACGCTAAATTACAAATATGACATTTCGTTATGAAAACTGTTGTTTGTGTTCAAATTAACTAAACATTTTGTGCTGGTTATTGTTTTCATTGTCTATATCTCCTACTGTAAGGTTCACCAAAAAACACAAATATACATTATTTAAAAAGTCTTTTTTAAATGTATAATTTTTATTATTGTTAAAGTTTCAAAATATTAACATTATTAACATTTGTTTAATGCCTTAAATAATATTATAAAATGAATTAGTTAATATTTATTATTTTATTTGATAATCGACTTACTCAATACACTGGAAGAATTGTTGGGAAAAATCGATCGATTTTTTTGTTTTTAATAACATTATTTCCATGACAACCACTTTTTCCATGACAACCAATAATTTTTCTATCTGTATTCTTTAACAACTTTTTGGGTTAATAACTTGTTTATCAAGTATACAATTTGTACAATTTAAAAAGGGTGAACAGTTATACAATTGATAATATAAAATTGTTATTTAATACATCAAGTATTTAATTATCGCCAAGCTTTCATTCCGCCTTCATTCTGTATTTGTACAAATTATAAAAAAATGAAATTGTTTAGAGTCAATTATTTGACATTATCTTGTTTTTAAACTTTATTTTGTGGACAGAAAAAAGCTTTAATTTATTGTAAACATCGGGCATTAGGTAAATATTGAAAAAATTAAAACAAAAAGGATAATTTTGGGACGTTTTCCCGAAATATTACAATTTTAATGGTCTAAATAGAACCAGATAAGTTAGAGAACAAATAACGTTTGTAAATTGACTCTATTAAACAACCAGTCTTTTGATTCTGTTTTAAAATAACTATAAAATGAAACTCAAAACAAATAACACATTGAATGAATACCTCTTTAGACCGGTACTCAATGATGATTGTTTCAAAATATTTTGATTGTTTATACCAATTCGAAAAATTGGTTTTAGTCTGCAAAAAGTTTAAAGAGATCCCACTAATGTTTCATTTTAATCCAATTCAATGGAATCCAAAAATGGTTAATTATTTCGAAAATGTTGAAACTCTTCACCTTTATGACAAACAAGACAAATTTGTCCCCGGATTTTTTCAATATTATGTGCATTACCCAATTGAACTTTCCAGATACAAAAAGTTGAATAAGAAAATAAAAGTGATATGCCCACATATCACTTTTTCTTCTGGTGATTTACAAAACAACTATTCATATAAAGAAGCATCTATATTATCACCAAATGCGTTTAAATCAAAATTCAAAATATTTACTGATTTAGAGTGTTCTAATATTTCTAAATTATCCATAAAAACCTTTAAATACAATAAATTATTGAACTCAATTACACTTTCTGATCATATCAACACAATACCCGATTTGTGTTTTTAGGGGTGTGCTTCCCTTAAAGAAATTAATTTAAAAAACGTCAGTGTTTTGGGATCAAAGTGTTTTGTTGGGTGTGACACACTCTCTGCTCTCACATTTTGCTCAAATTTGACAAAGTGTGGAAAATACCCATTTTACGACGTGTTAAATATTAAACGCGTGATTTCATTTCATTCACAAACTGTTGAATTGGAATTAAACGTGTCATGTTCAAGTGTATTTTCTAATATCAGGAAAACATTATTTATCACACAAAGTGATGTTAGAAGAGGGTTTTCGATTGACTGTGAAGTTAATGAAATCTGTGAATCCGCTTTTTCTGGAAATAAAAATTTGAGTGATAAATACATTGCGCCGACAATCAAAGTAATTCGCAAAAATGCGTTATCTGATTGTGATTTAAAGCAACTTGATTTGTCGCACATTGAGGTTTTTGAAAAACAAGAGAACCTAAAAATGATCACTGCACTCACTTTGAATTCGAAGAGCTATTTTAACAATTTGTATCAATGCAATTCGTTACAATCAATCAAAATTGTTGGTACTCAATCTGTAAATTGCAAAGCCGCGTGTTGGATGAAGACTCTAGATGACATAAAGAAACTAATAGTTGATGAGTATGTGTATTCCTGTAAGGATTGTGAATTATTTAATGGGTTGTTACCATTTAATATCACAAATTTAAAAACAATAGAAAAGGATGTAAGATTAAAAGATTTGGAAATTGACACTTATCAAGTCCCAGACAATATATCTTTATTATATGCAGAAAATTTTCTTGAGTGTAAAAACATCAAAAAATTACTTTTACCAAAATGTCTTAATACTCGTTTTGACTTTTCAATATTAGAAACAATCAAAGAAGCAGCTCTACCTTATAAAACAAATAAGAACATATATTCAAGTGGGCAATTGACATCAATCACATTCCTTGACGACGATTTTTTAAAAAACCAAACCATGGACAACATTAATTTTCAAAACCTTAAAAACATCGAATTTGCACATCCACCAACAGACGGAATTTATCGTACAAATCTCGATTACAGAATTTTTAAGTTTTTAATTAAAAATTACAAAATTGAAGGAGAAGTTGTATTGTATAATGTTTTTGAATCGGATGTTAAAAATGGAATTTTTAAAATTCCAGACGAAGTGACTGTTATAGAGTGCTATTTATTGAATCGGTGTTACCATTTGAAAGAGATATGGGTTAATAAAAACACATGGTTGATTAAAAGCAATTCATTTCATGACTGCAAAAATCTCGTGTTAGTCAAAAACTTATTAATATCAGTGATTGTTGAAAAGTTTGCGTTCAAAAATGCAAATCCAAATTTGTATTTCGATATTATTACCGTATATCCTTAAAACAGTTATTTTTTTTTATTTTTTTTTATTTTTCAGCAAAAAAACGGGCTTAATCATTTTTTCCATAAGGGATTCATGAGGATTGTTAATTTTTCTGAGGATGGTAAATATCTTAAACATAATTTCTTTCAATTTGGATTTTTTTGCCTAAGATCAAAAAGGTATATTTTGAAACACTTGATTTTCTTTAAAAATGCTATTTTTGGATTTTTTGAAAGATGGTTCTTTCAGTTGATTTTTACAAAAAAATAATCTACTTCTATTTTTTGATTTACCACAAGACTAACTTTGGTTTAAATGAAAACATTTAACAAACATTTGAATTATCGAAAAAGTCGATTTTTTTATCAAAATCACAAAACAAATTAATCAAACAATTTTTAATCTTTTTTACAAAAATAATTAATTATTAATCAATTCATGATATTTCAAACAATAAAAATTGATAGCAAATAACGTATTAATAACGTATACTCTATGCGATAACAATTTATGTATTTGCGCAAATTCAAAACGCGAGGTTTTAAAGATCGATAAACAATGATTGATAAATAAACAAATTTTTAAAATAAAATCATTTTTGTTTTAAACGGTTTTATTTATATTTTCAAACATATATAAACAAAAATATATGTTTATATTATTTTTTT